AGGGGCAAGGAGCAGGTGAAAGCACGTGTCAGGACGCCTGGGTCACTCTCCCAGCCCTGCCCTTGTGGTGACCTTGGCCAGGTTCCCATGCCCCAGCCTGCCCATTGCAAGGAAGGGGCTCCTGGCCACACTAGCCCCTTGGCAGTGTCACCGTGCTGAGCCAGAGCAGCAGTGCCGGGGCAGATCTGCCCCTGCAGGGACGGCAGAGGCAAGGGGCAGGGAGGGCAGATCTGGGCACTTATGTAAGTCTGCCTGCTCCGGCTCTCCTGCTGCCTCAACAGGCCCTTGGCATGTGGACCCGGATGGGACAGCACAGTCCAGGTCTTGTCCCTTGTCCCCCTTCCCTGTCCCTTGTCCCCCTCCTGCAGTGCAGCCTCAGGGACTCCCCAGCTGCCACCGCGTGAGCCAGCTCTCCTTCGCCGCCTCTGAGCAGTGCCGTGTCCTAGATAAAGCCCTGGACGGGCGAGGGGGATTAGCTGGAGTTGGCGCACACAGGCTTGTGCCATGGTATGGGGGGCACCTGGGCCTCCGGTGCTGCAGGCTCTGGGAGAGCAGCCTAGCTCCTGGCCCGGCCAGGCAGCGGGTGAATGCCGTGTCTATGGGGAGGTTTGCACCCACATTGGTGGGACACTCCGATCCCTCTGGGCACATGGAGGGAGCTGCCCAGCCAGGGCAAGTGGATGAACAGTCCTGTTTGGGATGGCTGGGGCACACTGGGGCAGCTCCCAGGAGACACAGCTACCCCCCTGGCACAGTGACCTTGCCTCCCATAGACATGGGGATGTGAGCAGCAAGGGTCAGCCCCTTCAAGGGGTGCAGGCTGTTAGGACACAGACCCACGTCTCCTGCTGCCTGCAGAACCAGGCCAGCTCCTCCAGCCATGATGTGTCACACTGACCCATCTCAGTCAACTGAGCCTGCCCCATGGCCTGTGGCTCCCTGCACAGGGAAAAGTGATGGGTTTGCCTGGCACTTCGGCACAGCCACCTGCCAGCACTGAGCTCTGTATCTGGGGACACAGCTGTGCGCTGGGCGCTGGGGGACACTCACATGGCACTCAGGGTGCCCGGTCAGTCCGGCCATGCCATGTGCACCCACACAGGGTGGCCGAGTCGCCACGGGTGCTGGTCCTCCTGCGGTGGGTGATGCCTGCGCCGTCGCTAAGGAGCACGTGTAAGTGGATCTGGGTTATTTTGGGCTGCTGTCAGGGCTGGGTGCTCAGCACCTCCCACACACACACCAGATGCTGCTATTTCGGAGCTGCTGGGCCCCCTTCCCTCCTCTCCTCCCGCTCCTCATGCTGGGGTGGGCAGCTGGGGTGGTGCCTGAGGATCCTTAAAACCTGGTCATCTGAGGGAGCAGGATCAGCAGTCTGACCCTGCAAGCCTCATTGTCCCACCACCCTGCTCTGGGCACAGTGCCAGGGAGCTCATCCCACCACTACCCTCTGTGCAGGGCTGGGAGCAGGATCCCTGCTCCATCCCACCAACCCCATAGTCCTCCATGCTAGGATACAGGCAACCCTGTGGCTCCCAAGGCCCCTCTGCACCCTCAGTCTCTCCAGCAAAGAGTGCCCTTCCTCCTGGCCCCATCACCCAGCTGCCTGTGGCTGTCAGTGCTTGGCGTGAGCCTGCCTGGCTCAGGGAATACCTGTGGACGTGGAATTGCCCCATAGCACAGGCACGGCACAGCCCAGCCAGGCCAGCGAGTGATTGGGAGGGCACTGCTGGGCACACAGCCCCATTCCTGGGCTCACTGCTGCAGGGCTGGGCTTGCACTTTCCCAGGTGGACTTTATCCCGTGCCACAGTCTGGGTGTGCTTGTGCAGGGGGGAGACACCCAGTGTGGACAAGGCAGGCAGCAGTGGGGCACTGTGCACCTCCTGCAGCCGTGGGGCAGGCACAGGGCACTTCCACCCCACAGTTTCCCAGGGCACAGTGCTGGCAAGGGGAGGCAGGAGCGGTGGTTGGTCTGGCCTTCAGTCCAGGGCATGGGGCAGCAGTGTCACCAGGCAGGGAGATCTTTGAACACTGCACGTTGTCCTGGGCCAGGGAGCCAAGCAGCAGCAGCTGGGCAAGCATGATGGAGCAGGCCAGCCATGCTTCCCACTGCGTCCTTGGCTATGGTGCTGTGTGCATCCAGAGCAGAGAGCAGCTGTGGTGCTGCCTGTGATGCCCACAGGGAGATAAGTCTCTGCTTGCACTTGAGGGTCTGCCCCATGGCACCGTGGCCTCACCGTGCTGCCCACAGGCATGGCCAGCCTGTGTTGGACACTCTCTCAGCCCTGTTCCTTCTCTCTGCAGAGCTCCAAGGTGGTGCAGGGGCTGACTGGCCTGCGAAACCTCGGCAATACGGTGAGTGCTTACCCAGGCACCCAGCTGGGGCCCCTAGCTCATGCCATGCTCTTCTGCTGGCACATCTGTGGGGCACTGGGGAGCCCCATCCCTTCACCTTGCCCCCAGCACCGACACTCTCACCCCAGTGGCTACCTGCACCCCAATCCCAATGGAGCTAGCTGAGGAAGAGGTTCCCATGCTCTGCACTGCTTTGTCCCTATCCTCTGCCCACCCGCCCTTGCCCCCCCGCCCTGCGTGCCCCCCTTCCACAGCCTGCCTCCCTCTGCCTCCCGTTGCCATGGTTTTCTCTTCTGCCTCCCCCAGTGCTTCATGAACTCCATCCTGCAGTGCCTGAGCAACACCAAGGAGCTGCGGGATTACTGCCTGCAGAACCAGTACCTGCGGGACATCCACAACAACAGCCGCACGCGCACCGCACTCATGTCA